TTTTTTCAAAACTAACTACACTTTTGTAACGTTAGAAGGCATAATTTGATTTTGCAACGTTAGAAGGCATAATTTGATGTTTTAGAAATACAAAAACAATATTCTCTTGAAATGCCCTGATTGCATAATCGGTACAACCATACAATGCTTCAGTAGTTAAGCATTGCCGTATATGAATTAAGTAAAGCTTTGACATTAGCGTATAGTAATGATAATAAAGCAATGGGTAAAATTTGAGGTAAAGTAAAGTAGGACCATCCAGTTCATGGTGAAACTGTAACTGTAAACTACATCGATCGTCCCACTTCTACCATTCAGATGCACATAATACAGACAGCGGGATACACAACAGAACGAACAGCACTCACACCACGCCGGATGAAGGCACAACACAAGCTGTCCACCAAAACACTGCAAAAACGAAACATACTAAATAAATATATACCTGAGGAAAATAAATAACTGAAGTCCGCTAAGATAAATGTTTGCACAAGTACAGATATCAACACCATAGAAGGCAATAGACCGCCCAATGCCACTAAGAGATGGCCACGATTAGCGAAGAGTTTAATACTACATAAATTTACATCAATGTAAAATAGCACTCATCCAGTCCCAAAATATAAAGTTTACTTCTTTTAGCGCGGCTTTAATAACAAAGAAGGAAAAGGTAATTTGCTTTATCAAACTAACCTTCAAAGGGGGCCAATTGTGTCAAATCATTTCAAAGAAGTGAAAAAGGTTAGAGGTGTTCAAATTACTACAGTGAACTTTTTGTCATATGAACTGGGTGAATAAAGAAAAGTAAAAGGCTTGAGGTGTTCACAATAGGAAATTGGACTTTTTGACATATACAGTGAGAAATGAGCAGTTAGAGATCTGATTTTATTGGGGGATTGCAGGAGTTGTTATTTAGACACCATTAAGAAATAAAACTATATTCAACCAGGCTCTTGAGCTAGTATAACACTAATGCTAATAAAAATTCAAATTAGATACTTTATCTCCCATTATAAGCATTGTAAATTCAAGGCTTGTTGTCAAAACTATAGAACCCAGTGAGCACAACTTAAGAACCTCGCAACACACAGTGCAAATGCTTAATGAGCTGCAAATGGTTCAACAATGTGAAGGCAAAAGACATGTGAATCAACACTTCATGCTCAATCTATGACTCTAAACATTTTTTCCGACCAACAAAAAAGGCGAAGGATGATGTGGGATAATAATAAATATAAATAATCAAATATAACACGTACCTAATTAGTATTTTGCCTCACATGGAGCTGGGGTAGCACCAGGGCCGGTTCTGGGGGGAGGGCAAGAGGGGCGACCGCCCTAGGCCTGAAAAAAAACAGAAGAAAAAATAGGCCCAAATTTTTTTCTTTATGTATAGTGTTAGTAGACTTCTTTTTTTAATTCTCAAGGTCAGTTTATTAGGCCTAATGTTTAATTTTGTTGACAATTTGAAAATTTAAAATGTAAATAAAAAGTTTTAAACAGAGCCAAGTTTAAAAAATATATATATACATTAATATTAAGTAGGATCAGTTGTAGTTTTTAAGAGCAATACAATTGTTGCTGCATCAAAAAAAGAATATATACATTAATTTTAAGTAGGATCGGTTGTAGTCTTTACATCTCTTTAGCCTTTAAGGCTTTTTATTCATATAATTATAACATAACAAATTTATATAATTATTTTAGAGTCCATCTCTCTCAACTCTCATCCCAATTATTTATTTGTTTCCAAATTTCAATAAACTATATCTGAGTTCCTAATAGTAGTTTAGAGTATGTCAAATTGGCAGTCTTCTTGCGCGAGTGTTCTTGGCGGCCATACATTTTGTCTCTTTGAAAACCTTCATTCTTTTGAGACTTCAAACTTTAGACTCACATCAATGGTCAATAAATCATTCTCAACTTATGAATTCAATATACAGTGACATTTTTTTCATATATCCTTTCAAAAATAAGCTCAGTGTTGTTATATGAGGCAATTTTATTGTTTGTCATGTATTAATAGAAAGAAGGTCGCCTATGAAGCAATTATTGATTATTTGCTTCATATTGTTCTACGAGAAATGTTTTTTACTGATGTTTCTTCTTTTTATCCGATACTTCTGTTGTTACTTTTGCCCAAATATGTAACTTAAATAATAATAATAATAATAAAGTGATTTTTGACTTTATTTTATGAACTTCATTGGATATTTTTATTATAATTCTTATTTCAAATAAGTATACCGCTCATAGGCCCAGAAATGGTCAGGACCAGCCCTGGGTAGCACAGAAACTGCCTCCAAGTATACATAGTAAGCACAAAAGATCTTGTTCACAAAGTGAGGTGAGGTGATGTACCTGAGTGAATTAAAAAAGATAAAACAGCATAAGGGACAACCTACAGTGATGTGATGTACACTGCAACATAGTCTTTAACAACTAAAAGCATAGTTGTAAGCTCTTGAGATCTGAGAGAGCCGTACAAAGATTTCGGGTTCACAATTAGCAGCATGTTGGACCAACACTCGTAAGGAGAGTATCATACACAGAAAAATCCACACTCAACTATTTTATACGGAGTGCAAGTTAAACTCGTAAACTGGAATTGTTTACAATCTCCGAAAGCTTTGCTCCATCATCAAAATAACATCTCTTCCTTGAAAAAGGGAATAATGATAGTATGACACTTAAAAGAGGATTACTTTTATGTTTTAAGTAATTTCATGCTTAACATTTAAGGTGCATTCCAAGCTAAAAGGGATAATTCTACAAATGCCTTCAGCTTGTTCACATATTTTGATTCAATAGTAAAGTTCATGGTGCAAATTGGCATTTTTTTCTGTCCCACCATCCAAATTATATCGATCCCTGGACAAAATGGTTAGAACTGTTAGCACGTTATAAACTGTAATCCCATAATATCCCCAAGCAAATACATAGGCCGGCTTAACTCTTGACTTGAAAAGAACACCAAAAATGTCACTCAAAAAATATTCTCTTTTCTATTCACATACTAGTATATCACAACAAATTTGAGAAACCTCAAAGTGTTAATTGAATTTGAGCACTTAAGTGTAGGCAGCGGACTTACAATATGAAACAAACCACGCCTGGTGGCTAAATTCCATTTAGAGAGTCATATGTAAGGAAATGAGTTAAAATATAATTTTGGTATAACAATTAGCATCATAAACTTTTGATATAACAGACTTCTCATAAGCAATTCACAACTTTCAGACTATTTTCACTTTAAGTGAGATTTTTTTTACTTTAGAATAATTTTGGAAAAGCACATGCATTTGAGGTTTTTCTTTTTGTTTCACAGAATCTAGAAGAAAAAAATTAATATTACCTCGTGGAAGTTTTGTTGATGATGGATATGATTGGATTGAACATCACATACTTCAGCTTAGCTCTGGTCGAGAGGAACTGGCCTACACTCGGCAACTCAGAGCATAGCCTTTGACGGGTATGACCTCTACCCCGACAGAGCCCTCAATTCCTCACTATAGAAGCAGGACATGTGTGGATCATGGTCTGTCCAGCTTCATGCAGGATGCCAGATGCAATTAGCCTTTTTTTTATATCTGGAGCGTCAGGCGCAACGTTCTCACAGACTCGTCATGTCATCAGCAACCACATTTCGGGAACGACGCCCTGAGATAATCTCGATGCCCGCACCAATCCAACCAAGCGTGGCAGATCAAATGTCTATGATGACGGAACATATGCGTCAAATGCAAGACAAAATCAACGGATTGCCTGGGGTGCCCCCGCTCTAGGACAGAGCGTCATGGACGTGTTATGCAGATTCCCCCTTTAGCAAACAGATCACCGACGTGGAAATACCTAGAAAGTTTGCTGCTCCGTCAATGAAAATGTTTGACGGTACGTCTGATCCGAGGGAACATGTTGCCCAATACAAACAACACATGTTGGTCGTATCACTTCGTCCAAACCAAAGGGAAGCATGCATGTGCAGAGGATTTGGAGCGACACTTTCAGGACCGGCCCTAACATGGTTCGTCAACTTGCCAAATGAGGGGATCAATTCATTTGCAGAGCTCATCAACTTGTTTAATCAGCCATTCGCAAGTAGTCGCGTTCTGAAGAAACAAACAAGTGATCTATATAGAGTTGTTCAGCGACGAGGCGAATCATTGAGGGACTATATTCATCGTTTCAACAAGGAGAAGGTATCGATCCCAAGGTGCGACATTCCAACTGCAATTGAGGCATTCCGAAGAGGTTTGATCGACGATTCAGAGATGTATTGTGAACTGACAAAATACCCTTGTTGATCCTTCAAAGATGTCCAAGCAAATGCGTTGGCTTTCATCCGTCTAGAAGAAGACTTACGATCCCGTCGCAGACAAGTTGAGTATGAAGGGAGGCACAGGAAATGAGAATCTCCTAGGATACATGATTACAAGTCTGGAAAACCTTATTCAAGACCTGAGGAACGAGTCGTCACGACATGACTAATTGGACATGACAAGATGGTTGAAATCTCAGACTAGGGGCATGACGTCCGATGATACATAGGTTCTAAAGAGCTGCAATACGGTACGCTTAAAGTTATTTCATTTTTAGTTCGTTACTTTCTTTTACATACTGTCATCAATTCCGTGAAGAATCACTTTCGTGACGAGTCACTTCCTTAACGAGTCACTTCCGTGAGGAGTCACTTCCGCGACGAGTCACTTTCATGATGAGTCACTTCGGTGACGAGACGATTGAAATTATCAGAGGGCATATCGTCTTACAGTAGATATGTTATGACGATAAATACTTATCTAGGTTGGTATACATATTCTTAATCTATTACTTTTGCTTATCTATAAACGATCACTAACTTAAGCATCGGAAGGTCGTTGGTTTCTAGCCAACGACCGACATTAGCGAAATATTTTTTGCACAAGTACAATCAAGAATTGACGAGGGACTTACATACATCAAACAAAGCCTTACAACACGTCAAAACACAATTGACGGGGGGCTTACAGAATCTTAGGAGAGGAGGTGGGAGTTTTCATGTACGTTAAACATGAGTATAAACACCACCGACTCTCCGCAATATTTTGGCCAAAACTATAAAATTACACAACAGAAGCACATGCTCCAACATAATGAGACAGTACGAATGACATCAACACAAATCACAAATGTAACGCTATTTAAAGTTTTTGCAGAATATGGACCAAGTTCACACAACCCAACTCGTCATCTTCAACTACGGACAATGTTCCCTTTGCCAGCTGAAGTGTCAACATCAATATGAAAGATGTTGCAAATTTCTGTCATGTAGTCATTAATGCAATTTTGAAGAAAGGGATAACATCTTACCATCTAAGCTCTCATTCTTCATCATTCCAGTCCAAGATACGAATTCGACCAGAAACTACTCACATGGAAATTGATGGAATCATCTCATCAGATGAGTGACGGGTTGAAGGAAGCATCTCGTCAGACAAATGATGGGTCGAAGGAAGCGTCCAGTCAGACGAGTGACAGATTGACGACACATCTCGACAGACATATGACGGGTCGAGAGTCGCAATAATCAAGGATGACAAGTATACATTCCTTCAATATTTCGAAAAGTTGTTGCTTAACGAGGTGACATGTGCACCCAAACGCATCAACTTCTCGAAAGGGGGGCAATTGTTGGACCAGGATTAATTGGGTTCAAAGAATTGAGAAAATGGACAAAACGAGCTGACCCATTATTGGAAACACCTATAGCAAGAATCGGTTGCTCAAATTGGATAAGGGATAACTCATTGACTAAGAATAGGAGTGTGGAGCGTCCAACTGATGCTACGGACTAGGAGGCAAATTCGCCTGATAGTTAGGCCACCCACGTAGCATATCATTTATTTTAGGATTAATATAAATAGAGCCATGTTCACAAAGTGGAGTAGGATCAATTCAGATTGTTAAAATATAAAACTATAATAAAGTACATCTCTAAGCATACGAGTGAATGAGTTCGTATTATTATTGTTCTGCACAAAAGACTCATGGAGCCATACAATTATATACGGAGTATACTTCGTACTACGTATTACAAAAATGCATGAACAACAATCAAAAATAGAAAGGGACCTACTAGCACACTCTACTAGCTATTAATAGCACACCTATTCATTACAAAATGACACATATACAGTACATGAAAAGACTTATTGGCAACTAATAATTTAGCTGCTTTCCACATAAAACTTAATACGAGAGTGACTAATTAAGAATAATAATATAGCTCTAATACCCCTCAAGTTGGAGGATGTGGGTCTAAAATGCCCAACTTGCACAGTATAAAATGAAATTGTGTCTTGCCCAATGCTTTAGTAAAAATATCAGCAAGTTGAAAAGTAGTGGGCACATAGGAGGGAGAAATCACACCATCTTTTATAGCATCTCGTACAAAATGGCAATCAACTTCAATATGTTTGGTGCGTTCATGAAATACTGGATTGTGAGCAATATGGATAGCAGATTGACTGTCACAAAATAGAGGTATGGCTTCAGGGTGTTGAACACCCAAGCTAAGAAGTAAAGCTTTTAACCATTTCAGTTCACACGTGGCAGCAGCCATTGAGCGATACTCAGCCTCCGCAGAGGAACGCGAGACAGTCTGTTGTTTCTTAGTTTTCCAAGAAATTGGAGAATGACCCAGAAACACAATCCAGCCAGACAAAGAGCGTCGAGTGAGCGGACATGATGCCCAATCAGAGTCGCACCATCCTTTTAGAGTAAGGGAATTATCAGCTCGAAGGAGAATGCCCTGACCAGGAGAACCCTTTAAATAATGAATGACTCATAAAGCAGCACCCCAATGCTCCTGTCTTGGGTTTTGCATAAATTGTGATAAAATATGCACATAGTATGTTAAATCCGGACGAGTTACTGCTAAATAAATAAGTCGTCGTAAAAGGCTCTTGTAAGGCTCTGGATCCGGAAGTAAAGGACCAGACGCAGTGGATAGAGAATGATTTTGTTCAATGGGGAACATTGCTGGTTTCGCCCCTAACAAACCAGTCTCGGAAATAATATCCAATATATATTTCCGTTTGGTAAGAAAAAGTCCAGTCGGACTACAAGCCACCTCAATCCCTAAAAAATATTTTAGGGATCCCAAATCTTTCATGTGAAAACAAGAGCTTACATAATCCTTAAAATCTTTAACAGCAGCGGAATCATTACCAGAAATTAATAGGTCATCAACATAGATGAGAACATTTAATTGTATCTGGTGATTAGTTCAGGTAAAAAGTGAATAATCAGCATAGGATTTAGGATTGGGAAAAACCATACCCCTTCAAAGCTTGTACTAACTTGGCAAACCAACATCGTGGGGCCTGTTTGAGTCCGTATAAAGACTTACGGAGTCGACAAACCAATTCAGAATCCGCGGTTTGGAAACTTGGAGGAAGAGTCATGTAAACTTCTTCCTTTAGGTCACCATGCAAAAAAGCATTATGAACATATATTTGATGTAGCTCCCAATTTTTTGAGACTGCAACAGCTAAAAAAGCACGAACAGTTACCATTTTAGAAACAGGAGCAAATGTTTCATTATAATCCAAACCAGCTATCTGTCGGTTACAAAAAATAACCAATCTAGCTTTGAGACGTTCAATTTTTCCATCAGAGTGATATTTAATTTTATAAACCCAACGACAACCCAAAGCTCGTTTTCCGGATGTAAGTTTTTGCAAAGTCCATGTCTGATTATCTTCAAGAGCCTTGATTTCAGACTGCATTGCGGCGCACCAACCCGGATCGGTAATAGCATCACAAAAATTTTGTGGTTCATGTCCCGTTGAAATTGCCGCTAGGAAGGAGCGGTGATTGTTAGAAAATTTTTCACAATTAACATAATGTGCTATAGGGAATTGCATACCTGAAGAAAGGGACGAAGCGGGCAGTACCGGGGATGAACTATTACTAGTTACTGTATGGGTGGTATAATCTTTGAGTTTGACTAAAGGAAATTTTTGACGCATTCCGCGTCCTAAGGTTTCTGTGGGTTCACAATTATGAGGTAAGGTTGGTGGAGAATTATTTGGCAAGGGCCCCAATGATTGTTCAATAGATGAAGATGCCGAGTTTGGGTGAGCAGGAGAATGCAAAGGAAAAATGTCATCATATTCAAATTTGTCCTCTTGTGATGAGAGGGGGGTGGGGTCCAACGTGGGTGATGTATTTTCCAAAGATGATCCATGGGATGTTTGAAATGGGAAGATGTCTTCAAAAAATTTAACATCTCGGGAAGTAAAGTATTCATTGGTTTCAAGATCAAATAAATTTCATCCTTTTTTTTCAAAAGGATAATCAATAAATATGCATTTTCTACTTCGACTAGCAAATTTATCTCCTTTGGCTTTTTGGTTATGAGCAAAACAAAGACACCCAAAAATACGCAAAGCGGTATAATCAGGCAAAATATTGAATAAAACTTCATAAGGTGTTTTATGTTGAAGCAAGGCAGAAGGTGTACGATTTATCAGATGAGCGGCAGTAAGAACACATTCACCCCAAAAAGACAAAGGCAGTGAGTCTTGAAATCGTAATGCGCGGGTAACATTAAGAATATGACGGTGTTTTCTTTCTACGCGACCATTTTGTTGGGGTGTACCCACACAAGATGTATGAAAAATTATTCCATTGGTAAGAAAATAATTTTTCAAACAATTAAATTCGGTGCCGTTGTCACTACGAACGGTAGAAATTTTGCTTGAAAATTGACGATCAATCATGGCTATAAAAGACATAAACATATCGTAAACTTCCGTTTTATTAACCAAAAAATACACCCAAACAACATGCAAAAAATCATCCACTATTGTCAAGAAACTTTTAGCTCCACAAGAAGAAAGGGTATTGTATGGCCCCCAAACATCACAATGAACAAGTTCAAATATTCTGGTAGTTTTATTAGTGCTCAAAGGAAAAGAGCTCCTAGATTATTTCGCCTTATGACAGATTTCACAAGGACCAGATAAAGACTGCTTTGGCAATTTTGTAGGAATTAACCATTGCACAATATTTTTGGAAGGATGCCCTAAACGTTGATGCCAAATATCTATAGACGTAGTCACATTATTTATTCGCGAAGAAGTAGGTATAAAAGTGATTGGGTGAAAATAGTAAAGGCCATCCCGTCGTTTACCCAGTCCAGTCACTTTCTTCGAGTGCAGGTCCTGTATAACACAAAAGTCAGAGAAAAAATTAACATAACATTTCATGTCATCAATAAGTTGTGATACCGAGAGTAAATTGCAGGTCAACTGTGGAACAAATAGAACATTCACTAAGCATATATTATTTGATAGGCAAAGACGTCCAACTTTGGATGAAATAGCCTGTTGACCATTAGGTAGACCAATAGTATGTGCCGGTATTTCACAAATATGGGAGAGACATGATAAATTTCCAGTGACATGATTAGATGCTCCTGTATCAATAATCCAGCAAGTGGAATCAAACTTACCAGACATACGTTGAGATGAGGAGTTGGGACTACCAAGTGCTGCAACCAGGGATTGCCATTGATTCCATGACAAATTGGGAAGTGGATTAATTTCACCTGCATGGGAAGTAAATGTGCTGGAGTTTCCAGCATGGTCCACAGATGCATGGCGCGGCAGGTGAGCAGATACGTCCGCGGGATTGCTAGAAGAAGTGGAGTGACTCATGGACACGGATTGGGATCCTCTACCCGACTAGGAGGGTGTCTTGCGCATCGGACGGGAGGGGAGCGGTCAACACGGCCTCGAGATTGGCAAAAAAGTGGAGTCCAAGATCTCCGACCGTTGAATTGTCAATCGGACGATCGGGAGGAAGCAAGGCACTCTACCTTACTCTAAAGTAAGGTAGAGGCTCCGGATCCCATGGACACCTCAGCCTGATGTTCTCCACGATGATTTCCCCCAGCTGCAGTAGCCGCATGGGCCTGGGCAGGGACTGTCTTCCGTGCAGTTGGCCGGTCCATCCTGTCAGAAAATAAGTTTGGCCTGGTGCGTTGATCAGGCACTCTTCTGGCCGATTGGGAAGTATTTTTGGGGCGTGGACCCCACCACTCAGGATACCCAATAATCCCAAAACAGTGAGATATATCATGTCCTCCCTTATTACAATGAGTGCAATACAAATGAGATTTATCAGTTTTATTTTCTGTTTTTATTCTTCCTCGCGGACCTGTGCGAATAGCAAACCCCAGAATATCCGGACATCCCTCCTTATCCTTATTTTGCATAATACCTCTTACTCTCTCTTCTTGAGATATTTGCTGAAATGTTCTATTAAGTGTGGGTAGGGGTGTTTGAGAGAGAAGTTGAGAACGAACATGTCCATAGAAATCCGAAGACAATCCCATCAAAAATTGATGAAATCGTTCTGATTCTCGACGTTGTTCATGTAAGGACTTCACATTACATGTGCATTTACCACAAGAACAACTAATTAGAGGTTCGTAGTTATTGAGTTCATCCCATAAAACCTTCAATTTGCCATAATACGCGACAACCGTTTGAGCTTTAGATTGTTCACAATGAGAAATATCAGATTTAACTTGATGGATTTTTGGACCATCAACCAGTGAAAAACGTTCTTTCAGATCGTCCCACAAAAGTTTGGCATCGTCAAATTTAGAAAGAGTAGTTTTTACCTCTGGTGAAATGGTATTTAGAATCCATGAAACTAACATTGAATGTATGGTCAACCAATCCTCTTCCGTACAGGTAGGTATTGGCTCCTTGATGACACCGTTGATGAAACCAAATTTACGTCTAGCACGAAGAGCAAGTCGAACAGAAGTTGACCAATCTTCGTAATTATCTCCGGTAAGACGAACTGGGGTGATAAAATCTCCGGTTCTATCTTGAGGTCCCAGAAAAAATGGAGACGTGTAATCCATTTTAGGAGTGGGAGTGTCTTCTTCACCAATAGCCAGTTGACAGATAAAAATTACTTAGAGAAGAGGTACAGAAAGGAAGTCTCTCGTACCATGTTAAAATATAAAACTATAATAAAGTACATCTCTAAGCATACGAGAGAATGAGTTCGTATTATTATTGTTCTGCACAAAAGACTCATGGAGCCATACAATTATATATACTACTCCCTCCGGTTTTTAATAAACTTCACATTTTCCTTTTTGGGACGGTCTAAAATAAACTTCACACTTCCTTATTTCCTTTTTTGGCAAAGAAATCTACATCAAAACAGTGCCAAACAGTGTCTCAACAGTGCCAAACAGTGTCTCTACAGTGCCAAACAGTGTCAAACAGTGCCTCAACAGTGTACTCTACAGTAAAGTCAAATTTTTTTCCTTATTTTGTGTGAAGTCAAACTGTGAAGATTAAAAAAACCGGAGGTAGCACGTATTACAATAATGCATGAACAGCAATCAAAAATAGAAAGGGACCTATTAGCACACTCTACTAGCTATTAATAGCACACCTATTCATTACAAAATGACACATATATATATACAGTACATGAAAAGACTTATTGGCAACTAATAATTTAGCTGCTTTCCACATAAAACTTAATACGAGAGTGACTAATTAAGAATAATAATATAGCTCTAATACAGATTACAAGCTTTCCAACACTCTTGTATTCACACATTCATATTCATCATTATAATATAAAAAACCTTAGTTGTTACTTTTTCTCGAATAATTCTTGCACGATCCCTTACTCTCATTTGATTGTTTAGATTAGCTTATTAATTGCATAAACACATGCCCAATTTTAAACACGAACAAGGCTGTCCATATTCTTGCTAGGGAAGTATGTTCTGGTTCTGTCTGTATTAGGATGGATCATCCTCCGACATCAAAATAATATGAAAATCCTCATTGAAATAATATGAAAATCATAGGGTTGGTTTCAAAAATTACCAAAAAAAAGTTAAATTCGTGCTTATTTGGTCTATTTAAAATCTTAGTATCAAAGTACCAATTTCGTTTTCTAAAAACATTTCATGTCATTTTAGCAAAAAAAAAACATGTCATGTCATTATAATATCTCAAACCAAAGGCATTATATATTTGTTTATATTTTAAAAAAATAAATGATAAAGTTGGAGAGTTGGAGCGATAAACTTTTCGTTTCAAACTTTAGAGGGGCATGAAATAATATTCAAAACTTGCATATGTAATTTAAATAACTCAAACTTTTCATCAAACTAATTTCATCAAAGTAATTTTAGCACTGTAAATTTATAACATGCATAATTAACATAGACAAGAAATCTCCCGGGTTTAAGGAAACTCTGAAATTCCGTGTATAAGGAAACTCCGAAATTCCGTGTCTAAGCAAATCTCCCGTATTTTTATTATGTTTGTGAGCCACAAACATAGGGGTTAAGTACAAAATGGGGTACAAAATGGGGTAGCAATAGCATTATTGACCCTTTTAGTTTCAATAGTTACGTTTTTACTTTTGTCTTTTTTATTTTCATGTTTTTCTTTATTTTTACCGTTAGCTACTCGGTCTTTGTTTTGTTTAATTTTGTCTTTTTTCTTTACTTTTTTCCTCTTTAATTTATGTGTTGTTTACTTCTTTCTTTTTCTTTATACTCCGTATATTAATACTGAGCATATTAGAAATGAGCTTTACTTTAAACTCGAATGAGTAAAATGCCTAAAAAATGAATATACACAAATGAGATTTTGAATTTTTGGATACTCATTTTATAAATGGGATAAGGGTCAGTTTGGTCCTCGAAGTTGCAAAAAAGGGGTTAAATAAGTCCTTATATAGAAGATTCTGTCCGGACGTGCCATTTGAGGTGGCTCCCGGTAGAATTTTTTGATGAAATTTTTTGAGAATCTTATTCATTAAGTCTAGTTTACTCATACTAAATTTGAGATAAAAATTCAATCGGGAAGACATTCAAATGAATTCTTGAAGATAACTGTGCCGTTAAAAGCGCTGTTATCTTCAAGAATTCATTTGAATGTCTTCCCGATAAAATTTTTAGCTGAAATTTGGTATGAGTAAACTAGACTTAATGAATAAGATTCTAAAAAAAAATTATCACAAAATTCCACCGGGAGCCACCTCAAATGGCACGTCCGGACAGAATTTTCTATATAAGGATTTATTTGACGCCTTTTTTGCAACTTCGAGGACCAAACTGACCCTTTACTCTTTTATAAATTATGTATGTTCATTTAGTAACCCCATTATGCTCATTTTAAAATGTTTTTAGCAATGCATATTTTAAAAGTCTCTATTACATTAAATTTATATAGGAGTTGATTATAGACACGAGATCACAAATCATGATACTCAATCGCAAATTGTAATACTCAATAGCGGAGGTTTAATGCTCACTGAAAATGTATTGATTCTCAACAAACAAAACATTCAATTGTCATGCTCATCTTGTAAGTTACATATGCTCATTTGTATGAGTCTGATGCTCATTAAATATATTTAAATGAGCATATTAGAAAATTTAAATTAACTTTTGAATTTTTCAATGCTCATTTTATAATATATGTATACTCATTCAGGAGTAGTGTTATACCCATTTTAAAATGTCATATCAATACTTATGAAACTAATGCTCAACAGAATAGGTATCAATAGGGTCGTCTAATAAATTTGGAGACCCCGGTTCAAAATGTAAAAATGGGGCCCCACATTAATATAAAAAGTTTTAAAAAAATCTCAATCTAAATACTTATACTCAAGTCAATTGAATACTAATTAAAAGAAAACTAAAAGAGTAAAAGGACCAACAAAAAAATGATGGATCTATATTTTTCTTCCTTACTAGGTAACTATATTTTAGTTATTAGTATTAATCATTGTTTAAAAACTTGCTAGGCGCTAGTCGAGCGGTTGAGGGACGCCTAGCGCCTAGTCGGCCGACTAGACCGATTTTTTGGCCGATTAAGCCGATTAGTCCTCTACAATGAGGACCGACTAGGCCGACTAATATATAATATTACTATATAATAATAATAAAATTTTAAAAATTTGGGGCCCCATAAATTTGGGGGCCCTGTTCTGAATAAACTATTGAACCCCCTAAAAACTGCCCTAGGTATCATGCTCATTAAAAAAGTACATTAATGCTCATTTAACAGAAACCATTATTTTCATCTCAATAGAGGAGGTTTGGTGCTCAATGAAAATATCGTGATGCTCAACTAACAAGCCAATTAACAAATTTATTAATGTTCATTTTGTAAGTTGCGTATGCTCACATATATTGGACTCCTAATACTCAACATGATAGATCTGATGCTCATTCACAAGAAATTGTGATTTTCATCTCAATAGCGGAGCAGAGGTTTGATATTCAATAAAATGTCGTGATGTTCAACAAAAAAACATTACGATTTTCATATTAATGTTCACTTTGTAAATTATGTATGCTCATTTAGTAGTGATGTTATACTCATTTTTACAATGTCATATCAATGTATATTTCAAAAGTATCATATTACATTAGACTCGCACATTGAAATTAATAAGAGTGAATTATAGATATAATTTAATAAGTTTTTATAAAAGAAAAAATAAGAAAAAGAATTAGAAGATATGAAGCAGAGATCGAAGATATGAAGCAGAGATCGTGATACTCATTATTAGTCTCTTAATATTCAATAAAATAAGTCAGATGCTCACTTAAAGTGCACTATTGCTCATTTAGCGGTAGCCGTGATTTTTCGCTTAAACTACAAAAAGTCACCGATTGAGCCTTTTTTTGGGCCTTCGTCAGATTCACTAAACTTTGTTGAAATTGGGTTGGAGCTTCATTTAAATTAGAAATAGACCCGGATGTACGGTTCACCCGTACACCCAGGTGTAGGATATACGAACTCGTATCACTACAGATTTGGAATATATTTACGGAGTATTTATGTTACTCCGTATGTTTTTATTCTCCATTATTGTACTAACTAGTACTCCGTAGTAATTAACTAGGAAACTTCCTCACGATAAAAAAAAAAAGAAAAACTAGGAAACTTCCTCTTTACCTTATTGTTGACTGATACTATAATATCGGTATACTCCTTGGCAAGAACACTTCATTCTTATTCTTCGTGTGTTTCTCATCTGATATATTCCAAATCTGTCAGAGGTTCGGCGGTTATAGAGGTGGAGGAGTTGTGACGGTTGCAGAACAAGCTAATAGCAGAGACATTGATACGAGAGGATTGGGGTAAGTTTTTTCAATTACATATTGAAATTATTATTGTTTCAATTCATAGATCACGCGTACGCTTAGACTGCGCAAAAAATCGTAGGTTTTCATACGGCGTTAATCGCATACGCCTCTAATCGCTCATGACCATACATCGTTAGTTCAATTTGACAACATGTGGAATTGGTCGTTTTTTCTGCAAATAATTCTAATTGATTGAGGATGTCGGACAAGCAATGGGTAGCTAGGAAGAGCATGTTTATCAGGCTGAAAAGTACAGTTTAAAATAGCAACCGTTCATGTATTCATCTGATTAAACTGAAAAGTACAGTTTAAAATAGCAACCGTTTATTTAAATCTAAATTAAAAATGATAAAGTGATGTGATCCAATTGAATCGAATCGAATGAATGGTAGACGGTTGCAGAACAAGCGAATCGCAGAGGCACTGGTACTAGAGGATTAGGGTAAGTTTTTCCATTTATTGAAATTATTATTTTAATTCATCGCTCATCCTCTATTGCGTACATTTAGACTCCGTCTGAACTCTATTTAAATACTCCTCGGGCTAAAAATCGCAGATTTTCATATGTTCATTTTTTTCTGAAAACACTTCAGAATTTCAGATTGATTGAGGATGTCGGACAAACAATGGGTAGCTAGGAAGAGCATATTTATCAGGCCGAAAATTACAGTTTAAAAGTTTTGTTCTGAATCTAAAATAGTAATCGCTCATGTATTCATCTAATTCGGCGTACTACTATTAATAAATTTCAAACTAGAATAAACACAATAGCCAAGCACCTATCCGGCTATCCCTTGTGTGCAATATTCCTCCCCATCCTGGGAGCTCTTCTTAATCTGGTGGGTCTAACAAATTAGTCAGTTTGGGTCAGTTGTTTATATAGATTCAGTACTCTTGAACTTTTTCAGAAACTGAAACCAAGCCCCAGGTACAATTTGCCTAATTATACGGAGTATGTACTTAGGTGTAAAGTGAGTTATAGTCACGATTACAATTTACAGTCACTTTTACGAGTCAAGATTATGTAGTCACTTTAAGTATAATATTAAGATTGTGTTTTAAAACTTATATGAAGCGTGATAGTCACTACTCAGTACTCACTACAGTGAGAAGAATGTGTTTGGTTCAGCGTGTAGTTAGTCATTGTATGTCTCTTAAAACTTGTATGTAGAAGATGCAACAAGGCAGTACGTATAGTCACTACTGACCAGTATGCCTTTGTTTCAGCCTTTCAGGTAAGTGAATTGTAGTCATGTATCAGGATTTTTGTGTGTGTTGTTAGTAACGAATACAGAGTAGTTGGTTGTAGAAACTAGGGCTGACATTTTATACTGAAAAACCGAAAAAACCCGACTCGAACATGAATCGGTTTAAAGATGGTTTTTTGAGGTTTCAAATCGGTTCAAACCGAACCGAAATTATATTAAGGCATATTTAAATATTTATTCCGCAGCAAAAATAGTAATAAAGAATATACAACTCCTACTTTCAGAAACTAAATCATGACTTAGCTTAGACATCCTCAATTCTTAACACAGGTTCAATTCTCCCCTGCTACCGTTTCTTTTAATTTATTTTCTAATCCTCTGGAACATTTGCCACACCGATTGAAACTGATTGTTTAGTCCTCATGCGTCTCTATATATACGCCCCTTCCATAGAGAGTTGACTTAGCCACTTAGGTGTTCAAACAGGGGCGTCTTGTGCGTTTCGGAGGCCCTAGGGAGAAAAGTGTTTACTTTACACAAATCATATTTAAAATGAGATAAATTGAATAAATTCATGATATGATATATTGTTGGTAATATTCGAAAGGATAAATTTTCAAATGCAAATAAATGTAAAATACATTGCAAACTTGTTCCATTGGCCTATTCGTCTTGCTTGAAGTGCAAAATCAATAATAACATCACTACAAACAAGTCATTGAACACCAAAACCTAAAATAGTAAATTACTAATTTAGGAATTGAGTGCCCCATGTTCGCCACTTTATAGCTATACTGCTTTGGGCCCTTATCTTTAATCTTTACATTTTACATCAATTACAGACTCCGGTTTAGACTTTAGAAAAGTGACTCATAGATCGGCAAAGAGGCGTTTGGAGTTCGGATGATGGGCGACTCACGGACTCAGTGCGACAGCGCCGGTTTGTTGCTACTTCAGCCTGCTTCAGTTTGGATTGCGATTTGCGGCCTTAGCGAATGATGACTTTCGGATTTTGGAAACGCAACACCTAGCAGATCACGTGGAGTGTACATAATTAGTCAATTTTATTTTACATATATCACTAAAACTAACAGGTCTTTTTTATTTTGGGGCCCTCTTGCCATGTGAGGCCCAAGGCAGTTGCCTTGGCCAACTGCCCCCAAATCCGCCACTGCGTTCAAAGCTGTGTCTCAGTCTAATTTTTCAAAATTCATTCAGTTTGTCCTCAAAACCCAAAACCGATCCGAAAATTCGGTTTCTGAAAATTCGGGTTTTAGTAATATTCGGTTTGTTTGCGGTTAATGGAATTTGAGAAACCGAAAAATCGGTTCGGAATATTCCCATTTTGGTTCGGGAACCGAATCTACCCCTAGTAGAAACCATGTGTTGTGTGAGTACAATCAGTTCATAAAATTCTACTCAAACATTTTTAGGGCCTGCTACAGTACCTTATTTATGGAAAGTTCCTTTACTTCTTATCCTGTTGTTCTCGAAGCGCCCTAATACTACTAGGTTTACATTGAGGAGCAGTGATTAATTATCTGAGATATATTACGAAGGAGAAAACATCGGAAATAGGTGATAGTTTATCAAGATCAGAAGAAGTTTTGCAGAATTTGGCTCTAATGTGAAAACTCCGGTAGAGAGATTTTTGGGGGAGACAATTTACTACGTATGTAAGAAGGATAAATTAGGAACACAATAAAATTTTATTTTCCTTTTTAAATAACGGTAGAGAACTAGTAATATTTTTGTCTAGCATTTCTTCAATAGTAATATTAATGGAATTTTTTCCTTTGTCTAAACAAATGCTTTTTAAAATTTAAAGCAAGTTGATTCTTGTACTTGTATGTTTTTTATTTAGAGTTATTAAATAATTCAAAGTAGCTTGATATTAGAAGGTTGAGAAGTGTTTTCAAAGAATTCATGTGAGTTTCTCAGTTAATCAAAACCGTAATTTTAAAAAATTGGAAGATGTATAGGAATACGTATATATGTTAAAATTAAAGTCATATTTGAATTATTGGCCTTGTTATTTATTTGCTCATGATTTTCTTTGTGTAGGTTATACTTTTAGTTTTTTATGAACGAGACAGCCTAGGCTGAAAAAACTCTGATAGATAAAGGTAAATAATGGCCATAGCCAAAACCCTTTGAATTTAATATCAGTTGGGAAATAAATCCTTTTTACCCACCCATTGCTTTCGTGGTTTGCAGGGAGTTATATTGGAGGCATTGGAAGAGATCAGAAAAGTCGAATAAAGTGAGATATAATGATGATGATTAGCAGCAACAGAATTAGCAACAAGGATGATGAAGCTGATGATGAGAAACAGAGGGAGTGGTCGAATCTGTCCGAGGACCTGTTGTCTTCCATACTCTCACGTTTAGCCATCGGAGACTATCTTACTTTCAAGTCGGTATGTAAATCATGGAAAGCAGCAACTCTGCCTCCTCTTCGACCATCAATGTCATTACTTGATTATTGCCCACATGATAAGGATTCATATAATGACCCCTATCTCATGTACTTCAACGAGAAAACCGGCTTCTTCAACTTTCACGATCCAACACGTAATTCCACTTATTCACTTAGCATTCCTCCCTTGTTGGATGATGAAAGTGGTGAAGTTGAACTTTTTCACGCTAGTTGTGGCTGGTTGCTTCTTGGTAAAGGTAGGCAGTCATATTTTTTCTATAACCCGTCAACTGAGGTTAAAATAGACCTCCCTGACTCGTGCGAATCGTTTGAGTGGGCATGTTTTTCTGGATCACCAACATCTGCCGTGTGTAAAGTATTTGGCATCTATAGTGGCAATACATCTAAGCTTTTAATTGGAACGTTACAAGTGGGTGAGACACTCTGGTCAATGTATGTCCTTGACAATGAAGGTGACGATTTTTTTGCTTCCAATTGCCCCCCTGTTGTGCGCAATGGATTCATTTATGCTCTAGGGGAATCTGGAAATCTAGGAAAGTTTTGGCTTAAGCCCAAGGAGGAAGTTTGTAACTGGAAGATCATTGGCAAGCATAATCAAAAGCAGTTTTTAAAATTTCAAGATCGGTTTCTCTTGGAGAGTGACGGCAATCTAATATGTGTTGCAACTCTTGAGGGCGGTGAAGTTCGGGTGTTGAGGTTCGATGATTATAATAAGATTTGGCGGAAGATAGAGAATCTAAATGGGAAATCATTTTATGTTTCTCATAGGACATCCATATCACGGAAAACAACCGTTAGCGGGACAGGAAACAAGATCTTCTTTCCGAGGTTTTACGACGGTAAAGGGTTGTTTTATTGCCTTGCATCGAAGAAGTGGCACAACTTTCCCAAGAGTTTTTCAAGTGAGAATTATTACAACACAAGAGGAATAGTTCACTGCGTTTGGACTGAACTTCCTCATCTTTCTGGCTGTGTTGCATAATCTGCATTTAGTTAATTGTTTTGTTCTTTTTATGTCTTTTTCTTTTAATTCAAACTAGTATAGTTGAGGATGTACAAGTTTTCATGTAATCATTTTAGGAGAAATCACATTTTCAATTCTTCAAAAATCCGTATCCCAATTTTAAAATAAGGGAACTATTTTTTTAATATAGGTATTTTGGGAAAACACAATCAGTGTTTACTATTTTTTCAAAAATAGGCTCTTCTACTATTTTTTCATATTAGTATGTTTACTTTGAAAACACAATCAGTTGAGCCATTTTTTTCACCCCCCAAATAAATTATGAAAATTAATAATTTTTATCAAAATTCATACTATCGTATAAACTTGAAAAAATAATGTAATAATAATATATAAATTCGTAAAAAATGAAAGAAAAAATATTAAATAAATAATGTAAAAACTTTTAAAAAGATGTAAAATTAAAAACAAATCCAAAAAATGGAAAAACATAGAGTTTGGCATAATTAAATTGTTCAGATATTTTATTTGTATTTATTTATATTTTAACATTTTTTTAGAATTTATAAGTTAAAACTATGCTATTACAAGTTAAAAATCGCATGGCTGGTAAAAATCGGTTACATGGCTGGATTGAAGTATTTTTTGAATTAATTGTATTTCAATGATGCTCTTTTTAGTAAAGGAGTTTAAGTGATATATTTGAATTAGTTGAAGAGTCTGTTTGACCCTTTTCGCTTTAAAATTTATAATAATTGTTACTTTTTGTTTGTCCAAATCCTTATAAATGTTATCATTTGAGATGATACATTTATAATGTGGGCGAGAATCACATTTATAATAATTTAGACGATTGAAGTATGACATTTACACACGAAAATACATGAACGACATTTCAATGTGGTCATCATTTGGAGGGCAAACAGTAAAATCTCCACCTTATTTTATAGAGTCAAATTTAGGAAACACAAAATCACGGAGTAAAATTGGGTTCGTTCTATCTCTGATTCATAGTATTGGGCGGATTCTCCTCCTTTCATTGTTTCGGCTGTAGCCAACGATTTGATTAATGATAATAATAATAATTATTATTATTATTTATTTTTATAATTATAATTATAATTACAATTACAATTATAGAAATAATTATAATTAAAAATATAATTACAATTATAACTATAGTTATAATTATAATCAGTGTAGTAGGTATAATTTTCATAACTTTAATTATAATTATAATTATAATTATAATTATAATTAAATATTTTTAGAATTATGACTATAATTATAAATTATATTTAAATTATATTTATAATTACAATTATAATTATAATTATAATTATAATTAAAGAAAGATTCAGATCAGATCAGAAGGATTCAGATCAGATCAGAAAGATTCAGATCAGACCAGATCAGAAAGATTCAGATCAGATCAGAAAGATTCAGATCAGATCAGAAAGATTCAGATCAGATCAGAAAGATTCAGATCAGATCAGATCAGAACTTAATAAATTCAGATAAAAAAGATTCAGATCAGACGAAGAGAACAACTTCTTATATTAGTAATTACTACATTTAAGTTAGTTAAAAAGGATCATCATTCAGTTATTATATTGATGATGGAGATCTCGAATCTGAGGAATAATTGGAATTTTATGGTTTTGAGTGAAACTTTTATATTCATTTCTGAGTGTTCTCAAAGGTGCCATTAGGCGCCGCCTGAGCGGGCCTAAGCGCGAGGCTTGAACTAAGTTGAACCTAACGCCAGGCAGTCAGGCACACCTATTAGGCGTGACAAAAGGCAGCCCAGTCCAAGAGCAGGCCTTAATTTGAAGGCCCGCACACTTGTTTATCGTCACAGAGGCCGGCAGATCAGATATTGATTCTTGAGCTTCGTAGGGAGTGTTTGCAATTGCTTCAACTTTAAAAAAGTGATTTTTTAAAGTGATTTGGGGAAAAGTGATTAATAGTAAAAGTTGGTAGTGTTTGAGAAAAAAGTGATTCTGAAAAAGTAAAAGTTGGTAGTGTTTGGTAAAATAAGTACTTTTTGTGTAATAGAAAAAGTGAAAAGCAATTTAAAGCACCCTTCCACCTGCTTCCAGCTTTTAGCTTTTAAGTGATTAATTTAAGCAGAAGTTGTCATTTGAAAACACTCTTTTTAACTTTTTTTTAAGCCAAAAGCTGAAAAGTGCTTTTTTTAATCAACTGCAAACACTCCTGTAGTATTACTATACCTTACACGCTCAAGTATGACTACTTTTTGTAACCTTACACGGAAGATAAAAAAAGGGGGGAAAAGGGGCAAATAAGCCCCTGAACTTATTGAAAAAGTGCAAATAAGTCCTTTTATAGGAAGCTTTGTCTGGCCGTTGCCATTTGAGGCGATTCCCAGTGGAATATTTTGATGAAATTTTTTAGCCGGTGTGGGAAATTTTGTAGTAACAAATTCTAAAGGAAGACAAAAAAATGGAATTAAAAGCACGGCTTCCTCCTTTGAGATTTGAACTAGACACATCATAGAACTAAAGCATCCACCCATTATTATAACATCATGGACATATGTAACTAGGTAAAAATTATCAAATAAATAGATGACATGATTATATAAAAATTATATTATTATTACTATTATTATTATCACTATTATTATTATTATTATTATTATTATTATTATTATTATTATTATTATTATTATTATTATTATTATTATTATTATTATTATTATTATTATTATTATTATTATTATTATTATTATTATTATTATTATTATTATTATTATTATTATTATTATTATTATTATTATTATTATTATTATTATTATTATTATTATTATGTGTCCCTTATCATCACCATCATCACAGTTGATTAAATATTACGAGTATTATTTATATTATTAATACTAGCTAATTGTATCATTTGTTGAAAAATATTATGAGAAAGCGGTCTAGCTCACTGACCGCCGACTCATTCTCATAAGAGATGTCCTAGGTTTGAAACTTCATCAAAACAATTTTAACTCTCGACATCTCGGATTCCTAACACCGACCTCTCACGAAACTCTATGTAATCACATCATCCAAAACAACTCTCTTAAGAGTTATTTCAGTATAATTTCTCTTCCAAAATCTATTTTTATTTTCCTCCATTCGCAAATACTCATAATTCTATATTGTTTTTATTGTTAATCATTATTATATCATTCAATTACTTTTTCCATTCCACTTCTTCTACATTTTATACTTTGGAAAAATCTACAAGCATACTTCTGTTATAAAATTGAAACATATAATGTTTTTGCATGATTTTTCTCCTATTACATTAACATACTTATAATGAGTTTTAAAAATATTAAAATAATGGGTAAAAATAAAAAACGCCTTTTCACGCCTAGTGAACGCATAAACTCGCCTAGACTTCTAAGGCTTGAGGCTCCGCCATGCCGCTTTGGCACGCCTTGTGCCTTTTAAAACATTTTTATGACCCTAAACAGTGAAACCTAGAACTTGGATGACAAAAATATACTCCGTATTGAATTAGTACACACATCATTAGTTTTTTGTTTAATGGATGGGTCAAATAAAAAGTGAAGTCCCATTATATTCAGAAAATTAAAAAGAAATTATTTTTGGGATAAAAAAAGAAACATTTTGAATCAATGTTATGATTGATGTTAAGATTCCAATCAGTCAAATGTTTTGTTTCAATATTGAGTGATGTAGAGAGAACGGTAAGAAAATGTAAGGTTAGAGTTACTTTTTTGGCGGTGTTGGCTGAAGTTACTTTAAAGGATCATTTTAGCTGTTTTTTCATAGATATTTTTCTTCACTTTATTAATATACTCTAATCTACCCACTTTAACAGAATTTCATAAATTTCTTCAGAATGAGCACAACCCATTTGGATATTATCAAAATTTATTGCTATCAGGTATACGGTGCCTAAATTTATTGCTTTTGTCATGTTTTGAAAATTATCAAATCTCCTAAAATTTTAATGTAAATGTAATTTTAAAAATTAGAAATTGTTAAAGAGAATATTACCCGAAATAGGACTAAAAAGGTTTGAAAATTCCAAAACAGGACTGCTAAATTTTTATTCCCAAACTAAGACTAATTACTGCTATGTTTTGGCAATACCAGACTTCAAACATGGCAGTTGTTGGGGTTTATTCCTTCAACCCTCGGGTCCAACACATAAGCCCAAGGATTTCGAGTGGAGTATGTGTGAGTAAACTAGCCCAACTAACAAGTGAGATGGATTAAGAAACAATAAGTAGCAAGTCAGTGATTAGGTATTATTAATCTGTTAATAACTCCCTAATACTATGCTTTTCGCTAAGGCTCGTTGGCCGATCGTCTTACAAGGCAGTAGAAGAGCTGCGAGTAAGAAGGCTATAAGCTAGAGTGCTAAGAATAGAAAGTTGCTAACCCCTTACAATGAAATAAATACTTCTATTTATACCACCAATAGGCAGTTGGCTACGCTGACGTGGAGGACTGTGGATGGCTGATGTTCCAACCACCAAATCTTCAGTATTAAATGCACTTCCCGCCAGGATCTAGGTTTCCCGCCTAATTAGTGGGGACGTTCGTCCAACTAAGGAGGTGAGTTGCTCCAGGTGATTTTGCAAAGGGTATTGGGCCGTTCGTCCCCTGGCCCTTGGGGGGTTTCGCCATGTGGACTGGATTGCCTCCAGCGGCTATGGGCTTGCTCTGACGACGTTCGTCGTCATTCTGGTGGCCCGTGGGCCTGCTCCTTGTCGACCGCGTAGACGTTCGTCGGGGTGGGCCGCTGAGCCCGAGGCTCTTCTTCAGACATTCGGCCGCGTGGACGTTCGTCCGGGTGAAGGGGTAAATGGGCCGAACCTCAACTTGGGCCATTAACCCAACACAAGTCCCCCACTTCTGATGTTCTGAGCATGCACAGGACATAAGGAAGTATAATGCCCCTCAAGGGTAAGACGCTCGTGGCCTAGTACTTGTGCTTGTTGTATCCTGCGAAGGCGTACGCTCGTGGTCATGGTGCCTACCAGCTGGCAGCGGTTCAGGAATCGAGGTGACGGCTGCCATATCAACAGACTCCCCACCAGATTTCTTCAACAAAAATCTCCCTTTGAAATGATTTATAATAAAAAACCAGATTTGAATCATTTAAAAGTCTTTGGTTGCCTTGCTTATGCCTCTACTCTCACTTCAAACAGATCAAAACTTGACCCTAGAGCTTCTAAATGCATATTTATTGGTTTCAAATCTGGAATCAAAGGATATGTACTTTATAACCTACATAACAGATCCTTCATCATCTCCAGAAATGTCAATTTTCATGAGTCTGTCAATCCTTACATTGAGCTTCATAAAGAAAATTCTGCTCATGATGATAATACTTTTGAAACTCATCATGATTACATGTTTCATGACATCTCTCCCATACATTCTACTCCCATTCTCATCCAATCAAATACTCAAAATCACACCTCATCTCATCATGAAACAAGCACTGAAACAGGACAAGTCATAGATAATGTTGCTCCCATCAGAACTTCTACAAGACAAAAATCCAAACCAAATTATTTGCAACAATATCATTGCTATAATCTTTCTTCTTCACAGAACATCATTCCTTACATCTCATATGATAAATGCTCTTCTAACTATACTGCCTTTTGCCATTCTATTTCATCTTCAATTGAGCCCACCAATTTCAAAGAAGCAATGAAACAAGACTGTTGGAAATAAGCCATGATGACTGAACTTGATGCTTTAGCTAGAAACAATACTTGGTCAATGGTTTCTCTTCCTCCTGGCAAGAAAGTTGTTGGGTGCAAGTGGGTTTATAGGATTAAATACAAGGCAAATGGTGGTATTGATAGATACAAAGCTAGACTTGTAGCAAAAGGTTTCACTCAAACTGAGGGTCTGGATTACTTTGAAACATTTTCCCCAGTTGCTAAGATTACCACTGTGAGATTTTTACTTGCTTTAGCATCTGCAAACAATTGGTTTTTACACCAACTTGATTTAGATAATGCCTTCCTACATGGGGATTTAGCTGAAGATGTTTACATGGTGCCTCCTCAAGGTCTTCAGATGACTCAACCTGGACTTGTTTGCAAACCGGAAAAGTCTCTTTATGGATTAAAGCATGCCCGTAGAAACTGGAATCACAAATTAAACTCAGCATTGATTAATATAGGTTATAATCAAAGCTCTGCAGACCCTTCTCTCTTTATCAAAACTCAAGACAATTTCATCACCATATTGCATGTCTATGTTGATGATATTGTTTTAAGTGGAAACAATCTCAAAGAAATTCAAGATGTTAAGAAGTATCTAGATCAAGCCTTCAAGATTAAAGATCTTGGTCCATTAAGATTTTTCCTATGACTTGAGATGGCTAGATCTAAGAAGGGTATTGTCCTTAATCAAAGAAAATACTGCTTGGAATTAATCAATGAAGCTGGGTTACTTGCATCCAAACCTGCCACAACTCCTGCAGATCCCAACATCAAACTCCATACAGATCAAGGTGACTTACTCACTGATCCCTATTGATGTTAACTTTATTTGATTAAGGATTCCTATTTTAGTATTTTGTTTTTAAATACAAACATCAAATACTAATATTTATATGTAATTAAAATGCAATTGTTAATTATAAATGAGCAACTTCTTTATTACATAAGACCTGGATTAGACCTAGTTATAGTAATTAGCACAAATTCCTCGTACAGTTTGAACGAGCTTGGTTTTAAGGGACGAAGGGAATAGTTTTTTCAGTAATATCCTACTTTCTATTTTTTAGTTCATGATTTTAATTCATTTCTTTTCGGTTTTAGTTTTTTTTTTACCGATTTTGGTTGTTCTGGTTGGAGATATGATTATATCTCAATGTCACATTGATAGTAGTCTTTTTTGGGTTATTTTTTAAAGGCCGCTATTTATATTATATTTATTTAATATAAGGCCTATTTACGTGATTTGCACCGGGTCTCCTCATCTATTGAGCCGGCCCTGAGAACAAATATAGTACTTGGTCCAAATTTAACACCATGACTTCAAAAGTTAAATTTGACTAAATCAAAATGGACGGATGGGATGTCAAGTAATGCTTAATAAAGCGGTAATCCAAGCAACAGGTGAGGGGTTCCATCTTCATGTCCACTTATGAGGTCAACATCCTGTTTTCTCATATTCTCCGGGTTAATAGGTTAACATCGGGCCAGGTATGGTATGAATTAATGCCGCTCTTTGGGTAATTCCGGTTTTGGCCCACTTTATGGGTTGAAAAGTGAATCGGATCGGATTTGGTCGAATCGCCTGATCCAATTTTTAAAACATACTCCGTAGCTTATATGTGCTCTTTTTAATTTAGGGAAATAGACCTAAATATGATTAAAAGTCTGGCTGGGAACGTAAATAGGACTGAGAAGTTTTAAACTCCTAAATAAGACTTATTTTGAACGGCCGGACAAAAACACCCCTCCCTTTCCAACATATTCTGCTTTGAACATAGGACACCATCCATCCGCTCTGCAAATCTGATAACGACTGTATTTAACAAACGATTTCAAAGGAGCAGTTGCCGGCGGCGGGTTCTGCGATCCGCCGCTGGTTCCGCCGGTGTGAGTCATCACCGCAGCAGTCTCCGGAGACAGGCCGGCGGGTAGTATCCTCCTCCAATCCTCCTTCCACTGGCCCTTCTCCTCCTCTGATCCTCCTTTTCTGGCTCTTCTCCTCCTCCTCCTCCTCCTTTCTCCCTAATTGTTTGCGAGTTTCTTGTGTGCGGTATGCTATACATCTCCCTGCTCTTTGGTGAGCTCATCTCATTAGGCTTAGTGCTAGTAGCACTGTAGCAGTCAGAAGGGATTGGCCGTATCAAAGAGATTCTTGAAAACAGTTACTAAGGGATTGGCCGCACTATAGCACTCTTGTTATTTTACGTTTCAATTTTTATTTTTATTTTATTTTGCAAATTCATTTAGTGTAAGTAATATTCTGGATCCATTCATTAATTTAGAAAATCATATCATTGTGACAATGAAATAATAAATGTTGTGACATTGTTTATTATACATAACTAGTGTCATGGAGTTACAATGATATATATCTTGACACAATGACAACATCAGTGAAAATGTCATAAAAATGCAATGTCAATGTATAAAAATGTCACCAGGTTAAAAAAAAATATCACAATGGCAATGTCATTGTCGTTGCTATAAAAAATGACAATGTCAATAGCTATTATGACAATTTTAATTTTATAAAAAAAAGTCGAAACGTTGAAAAAATGTTGTAATGGCACGATGACAATGTCATAAAAATGTCAATAACAATGTCATAAGAATGTCAATGACAATGTCATAAGAATGTCAATGACAATGTCATAAGAATGTCAATAGCAATATCATAAGAATGTCAATAACAAAGATATAAAAAATGATATTGCAACAAAGATATAAATATAATGTCATTGTTAATATTATGACAATGTGAAATAATAACAATGTCATTGGAATGAGACAACTTTGAAAAGAATGTCAATATTACAAAACTTTCAAAATGTTAAAATCATTTATCAACATTGTCATTACGAATTGTGTGACAATGTTGATATCATTGTAAATTTATGTGACAATACACATCAAAGTGTTACATTAACAATGACATTTGAATAAAACATTATCTAAAAATAATTAATAGAAAACTAATAATAAAAAATTAATATAAAAAAGTTAGAACTTGAAAACAAAATTAGATAAACAAAGAGAATACCATTCAAAAAAACAAATAGATTAAAGGTTGGTTTGCAACAACTTTAAAAAAAGCACTTCTCAGCTTTTGGCTTAAAAAAGCACTTATTTATCAAACACTACCAATTTTTTACTTTTCTCGGCTTTCGTGTCAAAAGTGCTTTTCCCCTTTTTATACACCAAAAGCACTTATTTTACCAAACACAACCAACTTTTACTTTTCAAAATCACTTTTTTCTCAAACACTATCAACTTTTACAACTAATCACTTTTTCATTTCATCTCCAAAAGTGCTTTTTTTTAAGCAGAAGCTGTTGCAAACACTCCCTAAGAAACTGGAAGGTCTGAATTCGAAACCAAAAAAAATAGGAGAACAAAAAAAAGCATGTCCGCATATGAACTTAACGTACGGCAAAGCAGCGGAAAAATTTCCCCACCCCAGATCTACCCAAGCAGCGGAAGAAGAGAAGTAGAAGATGCAGAAGAAGAAGAAGAAGAAGAAGAAGAGAGGAAGAAGAAGAAGAAGAAGAGAAAGAAGAAAGAAGAAGATGAGAGGATAGAACGCACTAGGGCCTTCCGCTGCGGCTGCCGCGGTGCCGCGTCTTCCTTGTTGAGCCGCCGCCACGCTGCCGTGTCGCCGTATTTTCACTGCAACGCCACTACAGCTCAACACATCGGTTATTTTGTACGGTGCTAGGCCTTGAAGCTGCTCTGCTTAGCTATGGATGAAGGAGAGAGGGCTCAGGGAGCTTGTCGAGGAGCGATAAGGTTTGCGTGAGAGAAAAAGGTAAAGTTAGAAAACAGGGGCAATTTTGGTAATCAGGAAAAATTTGGTCCTATTTACGAGTTAAAAACTTAGAGGTCCTATACGCGTACATATACTTATTTTTGGTCCTATATGGAACCATTTCTCTTTAATGGGAACCTATGATTCTGCGTGTATTACTATTTCCTCAGAGTGAACCTATGATTTAGTAGCATACTAGTTAAATATTTCAGTTTCACATGAAATATATTTTTCTTTTTTCAGTTTCACTTGTGTATTGATTTAGGCATGTAGCCTTAATAATTTAACACACAGGACTTGCCGAATACTTTTGTTGGAGGGGTCCTCTGAATTATATTGCAACACACGATCTCTTGGGGCACCATTTTTGGCGGCAACTTCTCTAGCAAGTTTTCTTTGACTATTATATTAAAATAGTTTTTTTTATAAGATTCTCCATATTAATTAATAAGTGATGTGCAGTAATAATTTCTTCTAAGTCTTATCAAGGATAATTTAGGATAAAAGTTAAAATTGATTTGATGACAATCTTTAAGATGTTTATGATTTATGCTAAGTATTGTGGACTATGACCTTCACGTTCCAAATGGATAGTTCCATACTCCTGGTTCCTTCATCTTTATCTCATTTTACTTTTTCCATTCTCCATTTTAAATTTATCCCATACCACATTTACTTTTTTTTTGAAGCTTACCACATTTACTTATATTTGAGTGATTACAATCATTTTTAACAAGTTCACATTTTATCAAGTTCATCCCAAAAACACAATTCCACTTCTCCTATAACTAAACACTCACTCTTGTCCCAATATAAGTATGACCACAGAGGCACAGACCACTAAATTCCCACTCCTGCCATTCGTGATTTGTTTATCTATTTGGCCGAGGCTTTTTAATATATAAGTGCAAATGGCATTCAAGATTCGTGATTCGTTCTTCTCCAACTGCAAACTAAATAATGTTAATAAGCCATGAAACATGATAATGGACTAAAAGGTCCTTTGCATTTAAAGATCTCAATCGGGAAAACAAAGTGCACGACATAAATCAGGGGATTAAAAGTCAGCTAATTTTGAGAACTGGTTAGTCCGAATAAACTTCTACACTTTATCATTATTTCAAGTGTAAATACACAATTGCCGCTATCTTGTTTCTTTGCTCCTTTTCTTTATACTCATCTGAAATTCATTGTCTTATGTGACTAATCTCAATGCTAAAAGAATCGTGCTGGTCTAATGTTTTTGGACACCAAGTGAAATTAAAGATCCTTGCAAAAAAAAAAAATTAAAGATGTTTTAAATAAGATTGAAATTTTCTGATATGATCTGACTTATTATAGTATAGTCTGATTTGTTAATTGTCAATGTGTATTTTCAATGTGTATTTTACAATTGTCAAATTCTGATCAAGTATGGTCTAAAACTGAATCCGAATCAATTAAACACATTATAAGACAGTTTCACCGCTCTAGTGTTCTTTTAAACATTAGATGAAAAGACTAGGTCATTGCAACGAGAATAGGTCATTCTAAACTAGACCACTCATGACTTGCCCTTGTACCATTTCTAGTGTGAAACTAAAGTTCAGTTTTGCTAAAAGGGAAACATGCTTGGCAATGTTCTAGCCGCACACTCAAAAGTTTCTCTTCAAATAATAAATACCTCTTTCTCTAATTAAATAGGAATTCTTTTCAAGGTTGCACCCTCGGGGAATAATGCCAAATACTTGATCAAACAAGAAAACTCTAATGTATTGCCTTCTTTACTTGAAAAAAATCCTCATTTAAAGTATCACATGCATGCTTCAAACACATCTCAATTATCCAAACCGACAAAGAGCTTAGAGTCTTGAGACACTTTTGCTCTATCAATACGAAAAAGTGTTCAATTTACAAGGCTTTTCATGTGCAGAATAGAGTAAAAATAATTAGGGCCTGTTTACTAACAGAGATATTTTCCAAAGAAATTCCTGGAAAACTGGAGAAAGGAAAAAAAAAACGCGTTTACCAAATCGTTTTCCAAAACGGAAAAAATGAGACATGCCTCTCTTTTCCTTAATGATTTGGAGAAGTGACTTTTACTAGTTTTCCAAATTTGGAAAACGCAGATGCTACCGTGCCGCTGCAATGAATTTGCATACTTACACCTGGTGGTGGGTCCGGTCCCGCTCCGATGTCGATTCCATTCCGGTACCTCCATCCTTGTACCTTACCCCTTACCCCTACCCTACCCTACCTTACCCACCCAACCCCACCCCGCATACCCGTTTTTCCTATAATGACCCTACCCCACCCCGATCCACCCTACCCTACCGCCACCCCCCTACCACCTCGACCCCACCCCGACCCACCCTACCCTACCCCACCCGTATATTACCCCTTACCCCTTACCCCTTACCACATGCCCCTACCTCGGCCCCACCCCACCGCCATCCTACCCCCACCCTCGTACCGCCATCCTACCTCCACCCTTCCGCCATCCTACCTCCACCCTTCCGCCATCCTACCCCCACCCTTCCGCCATCCGACCACCATCCTACCCCCCACCCTACCCTTCCCCTACCTTGGCCCCACCCAGATCCCGGGCCCACCCTATCGCCATCCTATCCCACTACCCTTACCTTACCCCAACCCTACCCACTACCCCCACCCTTACCGCCATCCTAGCTACCCCTACCCTTCCCTATCTCAGCCCCACCCTGGTCCCAGCCCCACCCTACCGCCATCCTATCCCAACTCCATACCCTACCTTACCCTAAACCCTACCCACTACCCCACCCTTACCCCTAACCACGACCCTAACCCACCAACTACTCCCACCCAATCCCCACCCCGACCATACCTCTTACCCCACCCCCACCCATAACTTCCCTACCCCGACCCCTATGAGTAGATATGGGTGGGTATGAAGGATTGTGGGGGAGTATGGGTAGAGTGTAAGATCGTGGTAAGGGTAGGGGTCAAGGGTGTGAAATTGGAGAACTGGGTGAAAAAAATTGATGAACATGTTTTTAGATTTGAAAATAGAAAACTAAAAAATAGAAACAGAAAATTGGAGATAGAAAAACTGAAAAATAAAAACAGAAAATTGGAGAACGAAAAACAGAAGTAGATAAGAGGAAAATATCTCTGTTAGTAAACAAGTCCTTAGATTCTTAATAAGAAAGATCTTGAAATTTATATGAACAATCATTTCTAGAGTAAGACATTTGTTCAAAAGTGTTTGATAGAGGAGATCCAACTATCTCAAGTGGACTGCCGATTGATGCATTATGCTACCTACAATAGAAAACGGACATCCGAAAAAAACCAATCAAAATGATGCAATACGACGTCTGATTTCACATTTCACAATCAAAATGGAGTAAATGACAAAACGACGCAAAATTCTTGCAGGAGTTTACGTAGAGTGTAGATCAGTTTTTTCACAAAATAAGGTATAAAGGAGGGAAATATAATCAATTTGGAATCTAACCATCTCTCTTATTTTTGGATTATATTATAATTATCTGAACTGCAAATTTGAAAGTTCGGATTACATTAGTCCAAAATGAAGAGATAAACCATGTACAAAATTAAAGGGGCCGTCGGATTGTGTCAGACTGTCATTTGTGTGAAAGTAATTATCAGCCTTAATAGCCATGATATCATGTATTTATAATAAAAAAAAGTTCAAATTACACAATAGTCTCTACAATTATAGATAAATATTAAAAAATACATAATTACTCCTTCTCTTACCCCATCTAAGGTGTGGGAGCCTTTGCGGCACTGGGATAATGATGATGATGACAACGATGACGAGCCCCCCCCCATTGGTCTGGTCTTGATTGGTCTGGTCTGATCTGGTCTGAACTGGTTTGGACTGATAAACGTCTGGTCTTTGTGTATTTTATAACTACGGAAGTTTGATCTGGTCTAATCTGGTCTGGTCTGATATGGACTGATGTGGTCTGGTCTGAGACTGAAAATAGTCGAAAAGAAAACATCCTAACCATCATCAATAAGGTGAAGAAGTATAATAAAAGATGTTGAATTAATGTATTCTGCTGATGATACGTACATGAAATATATAGGCTTTACAAGAGTTGTGATATGAGCTAATAACTAACTACCATGAACTAAGGGATATAGCTTTTGCTATACGTATGAGATAACTACAAGTACAACAATCGTATGAGATAATTACACATAATAAATATATGATAATATTATATAAATATTATGCTTCAATACGCCCCCGCAAGATGGAGGATCCGTTGGATACTCCCAGCTTGGATCGGAAGTAAAGGAAAGGTGTCTTGCCAAGTGGTTTGGTGAGAATGTCAGCAATCTGATGTTTTGTGGAGATATGTTTGACCACCAATTGACCATGCTCAACCAGTTCTCGGACAAAGAAGAAGTCTAGGGCAAGGTGTTTCATCCGAGAATGAAATACAGGATTAATGCATACATAAGTAGCTCCTTGGTTATCACAAAAAAGCTGTGGTGTGGATACAAGTGATATTCCCAACTCAGTCAGCAAGTTACGGACCCACAACATTTCTGCACTAGCATTTGCAACAGCCTTGTATTCAGCTTCCGTAGATGATCGGGAAACTGTTTTCTGCTTTGCGGACTTCCAAGATATAATATTACCGCCTAGGTAGAGAACATAAGCTGTAGTTGATCGTCCCCCATCGGTCACCCCTCCCCAATCGGAATCGGAGAAAACAGATAGAGTCAAGGGTGAGGACCGATTGAGGAACAGTCCATAATCAAGGGTCCCTTTGAGATACCGTAAAATTCTTTTCACACCTTGCCAATGGGTTTCGGTTGGAGCATGCATGAACTGTGACAACCGGTTGACGGCAAATGAAATGTCAGGCCGAGTGAAAGACAAATATTGGAGGAGGCCTAAACTCCGGCGATATTGTGTTGCATCCGTAAGAGGGGTGCCATCTGTGAGCACCAGTGAAGGTTTGGTACACATAGGAGTGGTTGCCTCCTTTGCACCGCTCATTTTGCATGCTTCCAAAATGTGCAATATGTATTGACGTTGAGTCAAAAACAGGCCTTTTGAAGTGGGAACCACTTCAATTCCAAGAAAATGATGGAGCATGCCTAAATCTTTGACCGAGAACCGTTGTGTGAGTTGACGGACAAAGCTTTCAATGGCATTAGAATTATTCCCTGTAAGAACAATATCATCAACATACACAAGGAAATAAATGAGTATACCATTAGATGAGTATATAAATAGGGATGCATCTGCCCGCGACTTATGGAAGCCCACAGAAAGGAGGAACCGACACAGTTCCATGTACCATGCACGTGGGGCCTGTTTGAGCCCGTATAGGGCCTTATGGAGTTTGCAAACATGTGTAGGGAACTGGGGATCCCGAAAGCCTGGTGGTTGAACCATATACACCTCCTCCGTGAGAGTTCCATGTAGAAATGCATTATTCACGTCCAATTGCCGAAGAGACCAGTTCCGGGCTAGTGCAATAGACAGTATAATACGTATCGTGGCTGGCTTGGTTACAGGACTGAATGTTTCAGAATAATCACGTCCGGGTTGTTGTAAAAAACCACGAGCCACGAGTCTGGCTTTAAAGCGTGATATACTGCCATCTGCATTTCGCTTAATTCGGTATAACCATTTGCACGTTATGGTAGACTGGCCATTGGAAGGAACCAAACTCCATGTGTTATTGCGCCTGAGAGCTTGCATTTCGTCCTGCATGGCAGAGGCCCACCGTGGATCAGATAACGCCTGCTTTACATTAGTTGGTTCAAGGGTGGGTGGGATGGGATGTTGGGTGGTCAAGTTAATAAAGGGGCCTCCAAGATATTTGGGGTTAGGAACTCGTATACGAGTGGGTCGGTTATGAGTGTTTGATGATGACGGGTGGGTATGGTGTGATGTTTGGTGCGTAGTATTAGTGGATGTATTATGAGGGTTGGTAGTTGATAAGGATGTGTTGGTATTGGGATTAGTGGAGGGGCACGTGGTGGATATTTGGGAGTGTGGGGGAATAGGTGGGTTTGTGGTGGTGGGAGTTGATAAGGTTGGGGCAGGGATATGGGGACTTATAAGCGGATAAGTATGGGTTGTAGATTGACTGGGAGAATTTTGTGATGATAAGGATGCAGGAGGCGCAGGCGGTAAATACATGCATGCATGTGAGGAGAACGTACTCAACCCAGAAGCAGACTGACGGAACGGAAAAATATTGGGAATAAACCGAACATGACGACTCGTATATATACGTTCTGTACTGGGATCAAGACAGAAATAAGCTGATTGGGATAAGGAGTAACCAATAAAAATACATGGTATGGATCGAGCATGAATTTTGGAGGAAGAATATGGACGAAGCCATGGATAACACAAGCACCCAAAAGGTTGTAACTTTTTGTAATTGGGGTGACGATTGTATAATAAAAAATAGGGTGTAGAAAAATTAATGGCCGAGTTAGGAAGTCGGTTGATAAGGTAAACTGCTGTCTGAAAGGCGTAGGACCAGTAGGATTGGGGCAGACCGGAATAATGAAGTAGTGTAATTCCGGTTTCAACAATATGCCTATGCCTACGCTCTGCAATTCCATTGTGTTCTGGCGTGTGAGGGGGTGTGGTAAAATGAGAGATGCCATGGTGATTTAGGTAGGGCCGTAATTTAATGTACTCACCCCCGTTATCGGAAAAGAGTGATTTAATTTGATGGTTAAAATATCTTTCAACCAATCGGTGAAACTGAGGAAACACACTGGACACATCACTTTTATGTTTTAATGGGTATAACCAAGTGTACCTAGTGTAAAAGTCAACAAAGCACACATAGTATCTAAAACCATCAAACGAGAGAGTAGACGTGCTCCAAACATCACTGTATATTAACTCAAGAGGAGAATGGGCTTGCATAGTATTAATGGAAAAAGGCAGTTTAGTGCTTTTATTAATATGACAGGACGAACAATGAGACTCACTAAGCTTGATGTTACACGGAGTAACATTTTTATTTTGATGAATTAACATATTAAGAATACGACGAGACGGATGACCAAATGTGTGATGCCAGTGGGATGGACTGAAGACCCGAGACAGATTGATTTGTGGAGAGTGTGGTGACTGAACATAATAGACATCATGGATGTTCTCCCCGCGCATGAGTACCGCTCCCGTTACCTGATCCTTAACAACAAAATGAGTGGAAAAAAATTCAACAGAAACAGAGTTAGTTTTGCAAAGTTTAGCGACTGATATTAAATTTTTATTAAGGGTTGGGACACAAAGGACATTAGTGAGGGATAAAGATCGGGAATTTGTGGGTAGGCTAGTTGAACCAGTGTGTGTAATAGGCAGGGAGTTACCGTCACCAAGATGAACCTCATCCGGGCCTCCATACTCGGCATAATTCGGAAGATTTGAATTATCTGAGGTTACATGATGGGAGGCCCCACTGTCAAATAGCCATTGTTGACCATTGGTCATAGGGTTGACTGCCGTGTGATGAACTGACGGAGAGCCAGAACCCGATGAAGTGATGATCCGATGATCACGCAAAAACCGCTGTAATTTCCGGCACTGTTTGACCTCATGCCCTGAGAAATTACAGAAGTGACACACAATTCCATGAGATGGCGGGTCCCGGTACTGTCCAGAGTTGTGTCCACCGCGACCACGACGGGTATGTTGACCACGGCGATCATTGATCTGCATGGGACGGCGGTCTACCTGCATGGATGTGTCACCCGTGCGACCTGTAGCTTGGGTAAAGTGTGCAGTGGGTACTAGCTGCTGCACCGCCATACCTGCTTCATGTAGCTTTTGTTCATGCTCCAGGAGGATGTCCTGAAGCTCTGCCAACGGGAGTGGTGTATTACGCACGCGAATTGCAGACCTTAATTCACCATAATCAGGACTTAGGCCGTTAAGAATATTAATCACCAAATCTTCCTCAGGAATAGGGCTTTGAGCGAGGGCCAGTGCCTCGGAAAGAGCATACATCTCAGCAATATATTCGGTGATTGATCTGCCGCCTTTTGTAGTCCGGGAGAGGGCAGTTTTAAGGGAGATTATTCTGCCCCGTGATGTGCTCGCATACGTGAGTGAGAGCTTATCCCAGGCTTGTTTTGCCGTCGTAACAGACGAGATCAAGGGTTGGATGGCGTCGGCACAACTCCCAAGTAATGCACTAATGATAGTGCGATCTTGACGATACCAAATAGCATAGCATGGATTCGGCTGAGTCTTGGCAGCATCCATGTATCTGTCCGGCGCTGCAATTGAACCGTCCACATATCCGTCGAGGCCGAGACCAACGAGAGCGGAGTGAACCTGACACTTCCAGACGGGGTAGTTTGATGTGGTGAGTTTGATGGGAAAGTGGTTTGATGCCGTAAGGGAGATGACCGGCGTGGTGGGAGTGATAGCCGACATGATTGGATCGGAAAAAAATTGAATCTCGTTAGAGAAAGGCTCTTGATACCATGAAGAAGTATAATAAAAGATGTTGAATTAATGTATTCTGCTGATGATACGTACATGAAATATATAGGCTTTACAAGAGTTGTGATATGAGCTAATAACTAACTACCATGAACTAAGGGATATAGCTTTTGCTATACGTATGAGATAACTACAAGTACAACAATCGTATGAGATAATTACGTACACATAATAAATATATGATAATATTATATAAATATTATGCTTCAATCTAAGGAACCTCTGCAGATTTTCAAAGACGCTTCATTAACGTGGAGATTTTACATTTTTGGCCCTTCAATTAAAACAATATCAAAACAAACGCTTGAACATTTTGATTAAAGTTTAAATATTTGATGTATTTATGATATGTTTTGCAGAGTAAAGGCATTTTGAAATCACGTGTTAGGTCCTAATTCATTTTTCTAACAAAAAATGAACTGAAAGACATACAAAAATTATTCGAGTAGTAATTATTAAGGTCATACTCCCTAATACGTATACAAACAAACGTATTTAAGGTCTTACAACTAAAAAATAAAAACAAATTTTACAAAGTACGGACTACGGAGCAGTAAATTGCACCCGGAGTTTTGAGTTTATGATGGCTTGCTCATATAGTCATATTTAGAGCCCGTTTGGGACATTTGGTAGCACGAAAATCGGTTGTTTTGGATGATTCTGTTGAAATTTATGAAGTTCTGGCTGAAGTAACTATATTGGCTGATTCTGCTGATTTAAGAAAAAAAAATTGAAATATATTTTATTAATAAAATAAAGAAAAAGTTATATTAAAAAAATAGCTACAATGGTTATCCACCGTAAGTTCAGCCAATAAAGCCAGAAAAGTAACTTCAACATTACTTTTTCTGCTTATTACACAATTCAGCTCGCTAAACCAAAGTTACATGTTTGGTGAAAAAGTTGGTTGATAAAACCGATAAGCCGAAAAAAGGTGTTTCCAAACGGTCCAGTGGCGGAACCAGGGGGAGCGAGCCGGTGCCGGCGCTCCCCCTTCGCCGGAGTAGGCTTAGTATATATAAGTATCAGTATTTCCGACGCCCCCTTCACCCTTTCCGGCGCCCCTGTTTCCTCTATGGTTCTGGTTTGCTGCGGCTCTGCTATACGTATTACGAACTGAGGTTTTAAAATAAACATTTAATTGAGCAAATGCGACACCGTTTGTTTAAGTTGAAAAAGGAAATAAATAAATAAATCAAAACTAAAACGATGTAATAAACGACTCTTCCACTCTTCCAATATTTAAAAGAGTTGAATGAACATCAGAAAATTACTTTCACTCCTTTGATTCAACCAAATTACTTTTACTCCTCAATCATTCAATTCATAAATTCGCCAAATAGCCAATCGGTCACCTGCCCGCTTCGCCCAAAAGTTTAAGACCTGAGATTCAGGCGTCGAGCTGCCGGTGTTGTGCTGGACTGCTGCCGGTGTTGTGCATGGATGACTGGAGGACAGAGCTTCGCTGCAGCAGATTTTGGTGAAGGCAGTAAAGCTGCTTTCGGCTTGGCCGCTTGGAGAACCGAGAAGTCAAGAACTGAAAGTCTAAAAAGGTAATTTTATCTTTTATTTTATATTATACGCCCTATAAATATATAATTGTATGTGAGTATGTGTAAATTGTAAATTTGTAATGTGTTGTTAAGTGAAAGTGCTCATTTATTTTGCCGTAGTATACTCTAGTACCTTAAATTGTCTTATAATTTAATAGTGAATCTAGTCACCAAGTATAAACTAAAGGCTAATTATTTTATGAATTTATTGTTGTATAATTTGTTAGGTTAAACATGTTAAAACTCCTAATACGGATGGGAGAGTCTTCATGAACTTTAAATGAAGAGAATAAAAAGGCCAAACAACTTCGTTTTGAATTTCCCAAAGTAGTTAGTTCACTATTGAGATGTAAACATTGAATATTATAATATTTTTATACATTGAAAGGAAAGTTTTCTAACACTTTGAATTTAGATAGTCATACGTAGTATGTGTTTATTCATAAAAATTCTGAACTTTTATGAATGGTTAGTGTACGCAAAAAATGAGGGGGTGTGCACAAAAAATGTGTAAATTTAACAATCGCGTACGCAAAAAAAAAAATTCTTCATATATTACTCGCCTTTCTAAGCACCTGCTCAAATAAAGTTCGGGTTCCGCCAGTGAAACGGCCTCTTAACCTTTTGTGCCGATCAAGCTTCCAAATTCACATGTGGCTTTTGCTCTTGGTCTTCTTAGTGGGGCAATGAAGAAAAAGTGAAAATAGAAAAGTAAGAACAAGAAGCCTTACACATTATATACTATAATAGGTTAGAGCATCTCCAATGCTCTTCTTTTCACATTTGTTAAATTTTGCCAAATGTCAAATAAATAGGATACTTTCTATCCACATCAAATACAAATGGAAAAAAGCAAAAGGAGGCCTCCAACGTATACTGTTAATGGGTCAATATACTCCCTCCGGTTTTTAATAAACTTCACACTTTCCTTTTTGGGACGGTCTAAAATAAACTTCACACTTCCTTATTTCCTTTTTTGGCAAAGAAATCTACATCAAAATAGTGCCAAACAGTGTCAAACAGTGTCTCAACAGTGCCAAACAGTGTCTCTACAGTGCCAAACAGTGTCAAACAGTGCCTCAACAGTGTACTCTACAGTAAACTCAAATTTCTTTCCTTATTTTGTGTGAAGTCAAACTGTGAAGATTAAAAAAAACCGGAGGTAGTATTACTTTACTGTCATTTAATTAATTCCAAAAGAATTAGAATAGAAAAGGAACCTACGGCAGACAATTTCTTCTACATCTCCGTTCCATATTCCCGTATTTACCACTTCACGGCAAGTTAAACAGTCTTTCGGAAATTGAAAAGTGGGGTTGAAAGGATTGATTCCACATCAACTTAACAAGACTAACGAAAGAGTACATTGGAGATAAAATTTCATTCACACTTTCAAAATTATATGATGTGTCAAAATTTTACTCAATCAAAAGAATAACATTGGAGATGCTCTTGGATATATTTGCCAAAAAAAAACATGAGAAGCAGCGATATACTAGTATAAGCGTCGCCTAAGAGATAAGAGAAAAGGGTTCATAAACTGCTCAAGTGTACTAATATAGTTGGTAATATGGATTGCACTCCATAAAAAATGGACACGTAAGTTGAATAGACAGCGTATGAAGCTGATTTGGACGGATAGCTATTTACAATCACTTTGCATCTCCAATGGTATCTATTCGTTCCATTATTCTACTACGTATTAATAATACTCCTTAACATTTAAATTAATTATGACTCCGCATACTCAAAAAGTCAATTCAAAGCATATACCGCCGAGAGAGGAGTGCGCCGTACCGTAGGGGCTGCCGGCAGCCCAGACAATCAGTTAATCGCCAAATTAAACCAATACACAGTCCTTCGTTGTCTCTTCAGCATAGACCACGTCTATTGTGGTCACCTTCTTCCTCCAAGCATGCTATATATGGAGTATATGTTATTAACACTGGTCTCTTCATAAATGAAACCACCATTTTTCTCGGTGTCGGAAAAAAAAAACAAGCCGGAGAAGAAGGTCGCCGGAGAGAAAGGGGGGTGCCCACCGCTGCCGCTTAGGCGAGGAGTGTGTGCTGCTGTAAGATTGTTGTGTTGTTGCTATATCAGAATTGAAGGTCGCCGGAGATTGTTTGGTTACTACTGCAGTCGGGTGTGTTGTGTTGCCGGAAAGGAAAAATCGAAGGAGTTATGCACTTTGTAGGTCTGCCGAAGAACTCCACATTTGTATAAATATGTCCGGCAAAAAAATAAAAGGTAGTTTCTACGGTACCCATAAGGTACCATACCTTTGTCCACATTTTGGACCAATAAAAAGGTAGCAGTTGAATTAATTAAATCTAAATTAAAATTGATAAAGTAATGTGGTCCAATCAAATGAATGTTAGGTACGGTACCCCTGTTTTTAGAAAGGTACCGGAGTTGTCACCAAAATAAAATACTCCGTAAGTAGTAGAATAAACAATTTGCTGACTTGGCTGTTTGATAGCCTTGCTGAAAGTAGAAGGCAGGGTAGACAGCCGCTCCTAATTTTCATTCCAACTCAGCAACGCAGGTTGAATTCATGTTTCCGTTGGAGTGAGTAAGTTTATCTCAAAGTTTCTATACTGGCAATTCATTTTTTAAGGATTCACAGCTCCACTACGGATGCTCTTAGAGCATCCGTAGTGGGGAAGAGCATCCGTAGTGGGGGTGTGGATCGTTAGAAAATGAATTGCCACGTCAGTTATAGACTTATAGAGACAATGAGATAAACATCCTTACTCCAACGGAAACGTGCATTCTTCCTGCGTTGTTGAGTTGGAATTAAAAACTGGAGCGGCTGTCTACCCGGCCTTCTAGTTTCAGCAAGGCTATCAAACAGTCAAGTCAGCAAATCTTTATTCTATTAACAGAGTATTTTATTTTTCTGCCCGGAAACATGTATAATAATTCGGAGTACTTTATTCTCTCGACTGTGTATGCTCTGGCTAGGCAGATTGCGGAGTAATTAATTTAAATGTTAGGGATATTATTTATAGAATAGTGGAACGAATAGATACCATTGGAGATGCAACGTGATTGTAAATGGTTGTCCGACCATATCAGCTCCATAGGCCATTTATACAGATTAGGTGTCCATTTTTTGTGGGTTGCAATCCATATTACCACTAAAGATGCTCTTAGGAATAAAAATATTTTATGAATTATGATAGTTTAAGTCAGCTAAGAAAATTTACACGGAGTAATTTATTTGGCCTGTCATTATTTTAATAAAATAAATTTTTATTGATATACTACGTATATTTATAGAACAACACATTCAAAGGAGCATTGAAATTAAATTCGCATATTATGTGGTCCCAATGAGTTTATATTTTCATTTTTGTGTTTTGTGCAATCTATATACGGAGTAGATCTTTGTTTTGGGTTGTGCAATAGAAAGAGATGCACAGTAACTGAGTAATACGGA